ACAAATGTCCTCGCTACGGCCCATCCTAATGAACAAACGAAGATGTGAACAAACGAAGAAATGCACATCCCAACTATCGTCAGTATCGACTCGATCCGTGTCTAGGCTGACGGTGACCGTCTCCAGCAATCTACGAATTTACCTTCGTGTCTGTTTGACGCATCTTTAATCACCTATCAATGATCGGTCAGTTGATCAATGATGACTAACACATGTTACCGCCACAGGTTCATTAACAACATCGGAAATCTCTCCCGTCACGTTTATCGTGCCGGCCATTTTGACGTCTTGTACTTGATGTAAATGTATTACGATGTGTTGTCATTGTGACTGACTTACCGAGGTAGTTCTTTACAGACCTTTCTCGTCTAATGGTGATATTATTTGAACACATGTGTTGCGTAAGATGTTTCTGAAGAGCAAGTTGTGCATCCATACGCCCATGCCACCTCTTTTTTTGAGGAACTATTTTATTCCGCGATATAGATGGTTGTTTTATGACTGTCAGTGTAAACATGAAGTCACACGTACAAAATAAAATTGTGTTAAGATCTTGGCCTACATCCTTTAGGTGAGAAATTGTGATTGGAATTCATTGGAGTATGAACCTTCATAGAGTGAGGGTCAAACATTGTATGAACGTCGTCGAAAGCGATTTGCTGTGCAGAGTTGCGTCCCTTGGGCACGCCAGAAACCTATGATTGTGGATTCGAATCCTGGTTTGCCCCAATTATGTTTCTAGGTTTGTCAGCACCATACCCATGCTCGTGGGTTTCACCGAAGTGGTAAACGTCTGAGACCTGCATCACTTCAGGCTTTCCTCCCAAATTAAGCTGACACGCCGTGATATAACTGGAATACTGTTAAAAGCGGCGTTAAACCCAACTCACTCACTCACTCTTAAGAAAAGGCACAGCACCTGGTCTTGACACAACCAGTTATGAGATATTGAAAAACCTACCTGATCAAACCGAAAGCTTACTCACTGAGTTGTATAACACGATATGGTCCAAAGGATAAGTCCCAAAAGCATGGAAACTGCTGCAGTTATCCCGCTGCTAAAGCAAGGGAAAGACGAAGCCCTATCAAACTCTTATTGACTGATCTCACTCACCTCGAACATGTGCAAAGCTATGGAAGCCATGGTTATGAAAAGGCTCATGCATCACCTTGAAACTGGCAACCACATCAAACCTGACCAAAGTGGCTTCAGGAAGGGAAACTTGTGTCTAGATCATATTCTAGGACTAGAAAATGAAATAAAAAAAGCCTAGCCGCAATATTTCTGGACTTCAGAAAAGCCTTCGACATGGTATATGGCATGACGGACTCCTCACAAAACTTGCACAAAATGGAGTAGAAGGGAACATGGCAAACTTCATAGACAGCTTCCTGCAAGACAGGTCGCTATCAGTTAAAATAGGGAACAATCAATCTGATACAATGGCACGCCACAAGGCAGCATCATAAGCCCAACCCTGTTAAACATCATGATCAATGATCTTTTTGACCATGTCAACTCTCCTACCCAAACTTCAAATTCGCTGATGACGGAGCAATATGGGTAAAGCACAGAGATATTTCACAAATCAGAAAAAAACTCCAGTCAGCCCTGGACAGAGTAGATCAATGGTGCAATAAATGGGGATTCACCCTTTCAAGTGAAAAAACTGTTGGTGTTGTATTCAAACGCCGCGGGAAAGATGCTATGATACCCTGTGTCTCCATTAAAGGCAAACCTATCAAATTTGAAAGAATCCGCAATATTTCTTGGGGTGATGCTTGATCAACACCTCACTTGGCGCAAACATATAGAATATGTTGAAAACAGATGTCAAAAAGACCTGAATGTATTACGGGCAATTTCAGGCACATCTTGGGGCACATCGAGGGACACTCAGCTGGACACTTAATGCAACAACAACAATGTTAAGCAGAAGGGGTTTGACGCTCATACAAAGCAGACCTCTCTCTCCTACAGCCCAGAGGGTTGTACTGACTCTCAGTGGCACCCTCAAATATATTCTAAGATATTGTAAATTGTTCATTGTTAATTGTTCTTGTAAATAAAATTGTAATTAGTCTCCTGTGACTCCGGCTCTTTGCTGACTATTCCCCCAAGAAAACCAGCTCTCCATTTGGAGGATTTTGTTCATCCGAACAGAACCATAATACAGGTACACTGTTGAATGAAAATCAGGATACATAGCTACAGCAGGATAGTGTGTGGGTTTGTATGGGAAATAATTTGTCGTCATATAAATATATATATAATGTTACTAAAACAAGAAGATAAAACTATGATTTACATCTATTTATGTATCATACACATTTTGTGGGGTAGTCAGTATGATTTGTTGTTTGTTGGGACATCTCTGTAATTTACTACTATTTTCAGAGCATGAGTATCAGAATTCTGTAAGAAATGATGGATCAATGAATAAAAACCTGTGATGACTCAAAGCACTTAATGGTGGGACACATGTTATAAAGGGCAGAATATCATGGGTAATGATGACTAATAATTGCAACTAAGTAACTGATTGCTTCATAGAGGCATGGTAGATTTTCATTTGGCATATTTCTAAAAGATAATGTCACAATATATATTTTAATATTCAGATGCAACTTCAATTTTGATATGAAAAGTAACATTTAAAATCAGTTGTTTTATTATGTTGAATGTTATTTCTTCTTAAACTATTTGTAAAGGCATGGATGTAAACTTACTAAAAAGATCAGTGGTAAAGGCCTGTCAAAGATGTCTGTGTGCTGCAAATGTAGGCGTATCTCCAATTTTACTTCATTGAAGTCCATGGTAGAATTTGTTGAGATTTGAATGCTTCGAATTGTTGTTGGATATATAACACAAAGGCTGATAAATAAAATGAGTTTGCATTATTTAATCATGTTAGCCAAGACTGACAGAATGCTTCGTTGTTTTCTGACGTAGAAAATACTGTGGCAATATTCCGTTTTTCATGACGTATTTCCCCGCTATCTTCCATCGTGTCAATTCATCTTTTAGTTGAAGACTCCACAAGTGTTGACGTTCTAAACTAATAATCACTACAAAATATGTGCTAGTTAAAAATATTCAGTTGTAAATGACCGTTTTTGAATGAAGGTGCAACAGGGTAACGCTTTAGCTTGGCTCCGTCTCTTCAAGTCACTAGTTGTAGCAGCACTCATTGATCAAGGAACCAGACTGGAAGCGACAGGTTTGCCCATTGCTTATATCATTTCAAAAGGAGAGTTATTGCCCTTTGGAATAAAAATATCACCCATTCCATGAAAGACTTTCACACATGCATATCTCCTTGGTATTGTTTAGAAAATGGGCCTTTTTATGGTGATGTCAGGATTATATGCACCTAATATTGGTCATCACAACTTGAATGGTTTGTTGGAACAGTTAGGTACCAAAATAAAAACTGGATTTAGGGAAAGAATCCAATTTTGATGGAAATCATGGAGTTTAGGATAATTTAAATTTTTAGATTCAGTAGACTGTTAACTATCCATGACGTCAGAAGCCACTATTTCTTTGGGTATATTGTAACCTTAGGTTCCGGGTACTTTACCCTTCTACCTTTGGTCACTTGTCCTTATCAACTACTCCTTGGTTCTAGGGATGATGTAGCTCTCTCAAAATCACAAGTCAGATGGCTTGCTCCAGTCCTTTTTATTTATGATAGAATTAATCATAAATATGTACACATGGTCCTCAGATAAGTTCTTGTTGTTGCCTGATATAAATACAACACATACCTAGATGATGCTTTGAAAGGCCTGATGGTTTTTCTGATGAACGTTTAACTCTATTTCATTTCTGACTCGGGATCCCAAAACCACAGTGAACCTTTCTGTTCAGCTGTATGCTCCCGACTCCCCGCACCACTCTCGGACAACTAACAAAATACTATCGATGATAATTTTAGCTCCTCCCTCCAGAATCACATTTGACATCATGAGAAATGAGTCATGATGGTCATTCCCCCATTTCCATAGTTATTATTTTTACCATCAAGCTTTTCTTGACTAACCACTTTGATTACCTCTTTAGGGTCATTGGTCAACTTGGACATACTCATATAACCAAATCAAATACCCTCAACTACCTCTGCCAGACTGGAAGGCACCGAAAAGATACCCAATCCTGTTATTTAGACATTCCAATGAAGCAGTAGTATTCAGAAATACTTGATCACCACTAATCTAACAATCCTGTTCTATCCATCTGTCTCTCTTCTGACATCTTTATTGCAGGACTGTATTCTACCAATTTCCTCATACCAACGAAAAGTTATCTCTATCACTCAAGAGAAGCAATATCCATAATCATTTGCCCTGGGGGTTATGCCCTCACCCTGTACGGTCACTTCTCTCATATGCATCCATATTTTTACCCAAAAGCCTAATTTAGTAAACTACATTTTAAGTAAATACTGAAAAAACCTTTTTCCAAAATACCCTTGTTATAATATTCTTGCACTGATGTAATAAAGATTTTGTATTTGTAAGAATTGTAAAAAAATAGTTATCATTATGATTCATAGAATGCTACCTCTATTACCATCAGGAGTAAACTGACCCCCTTCCTGACTATTCTGCATCTAGAATGCTGATGTTGGAAGCAAGTGAAGACTGTGCATGTGCAGTGATTTAGGTTATGAAGAGTTTGCAGTGAAGAGTTTTGAAAACTTTTATAATGTGATGACAGCAGAAATACAGGATATCTGTCACTGATGTAATAGAGGTAGTATTTTTTAAATTATTAACAATGATAACTATTGTTGTCATATAATATTATTGTTATACTTTATTTCTTTTTAGAGGTTTTAGCACCAATTTATCTTTTAAGCACTACTGATATTTGCATCAAAATTGGGATAATGTATCATCAGATTATTACTTCATAAGTTAGGTGGGCTGCAGACAGAGCCTTGTGGCTCAATTTTTGTAAAAGTATTTTCATTTTGAATTTTGCCTCTTTTCAGCATTTTTACCTGAGAATCAAGTGTTAGCTGTAGATGAGTCAAAAGTATTCTGTCCCCCAAACAAGTTGCACGTCCCTGAGACAACAACCGCAACCAGTGACTCAGCCCTGTCTCTCCCTGACAGTGATCTCAGTTCGTCAGAATCCTCTAGCCCTACCTACAGCCATGGTTCACCTCCACGAGACAGGAACAGCAAGGATATGGAGGTCAGTAAGTTTTGTCATAGATTTAACCAAATTATATAGTTGGATATTAAGGCAGGCCCCTCTATGACTGAAATTTGATGATTGGTATATAAAATCCCTAGGGTGGACTCTTCATCACATTAATCTTTAGGTGACCTCCATATAAGGTGAAGGTCGGTAAGAGGTCACATTATGAAACATGGCTCAAGTCATAGGAAATTGTTAATTATTTCATGAGAAATCAAAGCATTTTCCTATTAATAATAGATTCTGAATAAGTTACTCCATATCTATCATAAGTCATGGTTGTGTCATATGTCAAGGTCACTTTTAAGGTCATTCACTCATTATTAGACTTGTGACTATTGGGGCTATTTGCACTATTTTGATTGTATTTTAGAAGTAGTCGACACTAGTCCAATAGTATTGCGATATTAGTAAACCAGCTTTGATGATTGAAAATGATATTCATCAATGTAAAAGAAATGAATAAACTTATTGTTAAGTTATTGTCAAATTCAAGTTATTGTCAATACATATTTTATTCTAATTCATAATGATACAAGACATGTATCAATGATAAGCAATACATCAGCAATTTCTTCTGTACTTGTGATGTGTCAAGGTCATGTCAAATGTCCCCATCATTAAAGGGGCACTGATCTAACGCAATTCCCCGGGACTGGTTGTTGCCTTTGTTATTGTTTTTTCCCAGTGAATACCCGGATGTATAGCAGAAATCTAGACTAGTTCGCGACCTCTGCTGCGCCATTCGTAAGCGCATTAGTCACTTTATGGGTAGTAATAAGGGCGTATGGTCACATTGATCAACAAAATGAAATACAGTTTTCGAGATAATAAGGAAATGTAGGTATCTTTGTGAGTATCATCGGTAATGGTGACGAAGTTTTGATAAGTCACTTGCTTGGTAATTTTGCGATTTTCGTTTACACTATTTTGACTTGCAACACAAAGTAAATATTTCACCTGAGCATTGCTTTTTTTATAGTGTGTATATTTTTTTACTGTCAAATGTGTAACAAATTTATTAAACGTCTAAATATTCAGTTATTTTACAAAGTGACGGAAAGACATTTCCATCTGTACATGTATTATTATGACAACGAATTCCAAACATTTTGATGTTTAATGTCATCACCAAGAGACTGAAAATGTAACGTTGAAAAGTACATTTCTAAGTTGTTTGGCTTTCAATCCTACATAATAATCTGTTGTGATGTTTGTAGGCCCTTTTGATCGTCTTGATCAATCTGGACAGATTTTTTAGTCAAAATGACTGAAATATTTACACATTTTATAAATTGCCTGAGAGAATCACATTTTACAAATTGACGGTAATATATACACGCTTACAAAGGAAAAGACCTGTGACAACAACGTCTATCGCGCATTGAAGAATTTCCCAACCAAGACGTAGAGAAACAAGAACGAATCGGTTCAAATGAAGGAAAACAAAATGCAGATATCATAATTACAACCTACCAAATTTATGTGTAAAAATTTTAGGCAGCTTCCTTGTTCGAGGAATGTATCCGTGAATATCCACACAAAGGAACAATATCCCACTCGTCTGCAGCTGTACAAAGAAACTTATTCGATGTCACGTGTCTCAGTAACAATCAAATATTTTAAAAGATATATATCGTTTCGGGATATTATAACCCGTGTTCGTTTCTCAACTGATCGCTTGGATTGTTTCAGGTGTTTTACATAGGTATCAAGTCTCAATGGTCGGCTGAGAAAGCCCACGTGACAACTATTTTCATAGCGTCCACGGTTCCTAAAAATTCCATTGAGTGATAGATAGCAATGATCAATCAATCAACGTATTATCAGTTAACCCTTTGAACAAAGTATGTTGTTTTTACATCGGCACTTCGCGCCATGATATGAGTGTATTCCCTTTGTTTTAGTAAACCTAGACATGTAAACACTCACTCTTGACATATCCACTGTGCAAGATAACAGTGATTAATCAATCAACGTATTTTCTGTTAATCCTTTGATGACTAGGAACGATCCGTTGATTTACAAAAAAAAGTAAAATCAACTGATCATTCATCTCTTGCTGGGCTGCCACGTGCATATTACATAACACACATTTCACCTCACTTCAAACCTGGATTTTGATTGAATAATTACCCCAGACACAATAAATGCCAAATGGGAACCTTTGTCAGGTAATATAAGTGATGCTACCACTAACTGTACCAGTAATAAATTCATTAACTGAGCATCAAGTGAATGACAACAAATACACAAGTGTAGGGTTATACGAGAAAACGTGGATGACAACAAGGGAGTAGTAATCGTATTATCGACGCAATCCGAAATCCGAAAATGCTTTCACTGCATGGATATTTTTTTTAGTATTAAACTATAACCATCTGGGGTATTTCCAAATGACGACATCCGATGAGCTCCCTTGTTTTTTTTGTCTGTTTGATTAGGCTGAAGAAATTAATTAACATGCGCCCTTTGTCGAAATCTTTATAGATCACAGTTAACCAATCAGTGTTCAAAAATGCGTAAAACAAATATTGCCTCCAGCCTCCAAGTTTATTTAGCTGTCCTTGCAGACGGTAGCCCAGTCTCTGGTCACGCTCAGTTGCGTTGCGTATCATCCGGGTACTCACGGGGGGAAAACAATAACAAAGGCAACAACCAGTCCGTTAGATCAGTGCCCCTTTAAGTTTCCTGCAAACAGTTTAATTCACACCGTATTTATTTATCAATATTTCATGTCAAGGGTCAAGGTCGTCTGCAAGGCCATATAACCCGAACAATTGTTTGTTTGCCCTGACTGTAGGTCAGTGAAACTTGGTGCATGCCTTCCTAAGGGTGGGGACCAAATTGGGAAAGATCGTGAATGACCAGGATCAGGTCAAGGTCACAGTGAAGGTCATTCATAAAATGTCATTTTCTCTAAAATGCTATTTTCTGCAGATGTTTTTTTAAGTATTATGTATGAAGGTAGTATAATATATAACATGATATATCGGTATACATGTTACATCAAGTGTCAAGGTCCCCTTCTTAATCATATCCTGACATTTGTTTGTCTGGGAATGATTTACTGGAGTGATCAGCAGATCTCACAACTCACCGGTATATACAGCAACCACGGTCAGATTATCACTATTGACACCTTAAAATGAACTTTAGTTGGCAGAGAATGGATACATATATTATAAATGCCATACTTTGACTCATTAAGAGTCATATTTTGTTGTAGTTTGACTATTATATGTCAACATTAAGTTTTCGCAATCATCGACGGTTACTGGTCAAAATTGTTCCATACGTAAAAAATATCCAGGAGTGGCAATCAGCTGTACCAAAGTGCTAAGCTTATTATTATCATTATTATTTTAAATATATACAGTAAAAGCTGCTACTAAAATAACACGATATTGGAATGTGTTATTCCTGCAAAAATATTATTTTTAGAAACAATACTTCTGATCATTGCATCAATATTCTTTGAAAGTATATTATGGGTAATTTTTAACCCAATCACCTGTAAATTGGAAAAATCGTGTGTACAGCTGATTGCCTTTTCCAGCTTAGTTTCTGAGAAAATATACACTATCATCTTAATCTCTTTATATAAAACAATGACTAGCAGAACAGGAAATACAATTTAAATAGTAAATCATCATGTCTTGTTATGTTTTATCTCAAATTTCAAATTTGTATTGACCAAGTTTGTTATCACCTGTTCACTTACCTGAATTCGCTGAAGGGATACGATGTAATTTTTATAACGCACTCCAAATACTGAACCACCTAGAGGGGGTAGCGGATTATACTTGGGTGCACACTAAACTCAAGAAAATATGGTATGTTTTGAACTAGAAATAATACAGCAGTTGATTGGCTGAAATTGAGGCTCAAGGTCATTCAACCAAAGTGCATATAACTTTCATATTAAGGTGGCAAGAAGAATAAGACTTTCCATTTTACAGATGTATTGCATTAGGTATGTATTTTCCCCAACTGGAAGGAATATCATAAAACCAGAAGTGATATGACTTACTCATTAAAGCTCTCAACGCTACTGTCGAACCAGTTTGACAGGCGAATAGCATAAGGACACCCACAAACAAAACTCACCATATCTATTTACCTAAAAGGCTTTGTGTTACATTTAAATTATGTATGACCAGGATAAATGCTCAGCTTGCTCAATATCAAATCTTTCAGTAGTTTATTTTAATACCTCCCAAAAAAAAATCGTGAGTTTAAAAGGTTTCGGCCAAACTTCTTGGCACACAACTACCAGAGACGGCCATTGTTGACTTTTGGCACTTCACGTTGAGCATGCAGTCCGATATTTTCTTTATAATGTTATCATTTTTCACATTCAATCATAATTTATTGTTTGCTGATGAACCAAAAACAGCCAAGTTCCTTAATTTCTAAAAATTAGCAAAATTCGATGTAATTTATTATAAACAAAAACAATCTGAATCTTAACATCATCGATTGGATGGAACTTGTACGATCATGGCAACGGCAGTAAACAAACAACTCCATATGCATAATTTTCTGGAATTATTGACACGCATGTATAAATCTGTGTAAAAAAATATCTCATTTTTATAGAGTTTGCAAATGATTTCGTCTGATAAACTTTCGGCCACATTGACAAGCGTAACTCGCGAATTGTTGAGTTGAACAAAGTCAACAAACACTGCAAATAATGACAAATATTGGATGATATGCAAAATCAGAACTGATATACATTCTAGGTAAACCATTCAATAGCAAAATAATGCAGTTTACGAAAAATAATCAAATACTTGCAATTTTAGCTATCATTTCTGAAAGCGGAAGCACGTACCGCATGACACATCAAAGCAAAAATGCAAAAGTTGGTAAGCTATAAAAAAATTCCGAAATAGATTCAAATTCAAAAGAAAATACATAGTTTACTATACTAGCAACATAAAGAAACTCTGCACGGAGAAAATATAGATATAAGGGCACACCGTCCA